TTTCTTTTTATAAAAGACCTCCATATTGGACAAATGCATGGCTATTCCAATCCCCAGTTAATAGCTGCATGCCACATTCGGAGTTAGTGTCGGATAATTTGGGGCATAGGAGTACTTCAAGTTAATCTAAATATTTTGCTTGCAAAAGGCAGATAAAATATTGTCAAAGTCGTTTCACTAACTGTGTTTGTTCAGTGGAGCGTTGACAGAACTAGTCTGGACCTCATGAAGATCAGTTCGTTTTCCACCATGGCTCGTCTTCTCTGGGGAAACACTGCCATCTGGTGGCTGTACTCTTTTATCTGGCTGGGCTGCTCAGTTCACTGACACAGCCTAATTCAAAACCCATCACTGACTACAGCAGACTTTGGGTCAGGCCTTTTAGCTTCAAAAAGGCAGCAAGTAAGGTTGAAGGGAGACAGACAAAGGTAATTCCAACCTGATGGCAGAAAATCAGCATGTTTGAGCTCTACCCACACACTCCTCTGATCTGTGTATCTTTGCAACATCATCATAGATTCCAGGCACCAAAACTGTGCAGTATCTTGGAACTTTTTTTCCCCCCACTATGGTGTAGTCACATAATAAATGAAGTCATGCAGCTGGGAAACTTTTCTAACCATTCCTGAACCCTCCCCCATCTCCCACAAACACTCCACACACACGCACACAGTATGTTGAATTCTATTAAGCAATAGATGAAATCCCTAGCCCTTGGCTCAGTAGGTTGATCTGTCTGGTGGAATATGAACTAACCTGACTGGATGTTCAGGTTGCTGGAAAATATGCCAGATCTTCAGATGGCATAAATCCCTGTAGCTCTAGTGACTACAATGGAGTGACATTGATTTACATAAGGTGACTGCTGGGCCCAATGCGCATGTCATAGCAGATGTGTCCAGCACTGCACAGGAATGAATAATTCCAGCTTCCAGGGAGTGTGGACGTGTTGTTTTAGACCAGCCTCAATTGGCAGTACGGCTCTATTGGCCATCCACTCTTCTCTGCTGTTTGTAGATGTCCAGATGAATAACACCTAGGGAGATTGAGTGGGGAAGTAGAGTTTAAAGAGACTTCCCTTCCATCCTTACTCCAAAGGCTGAAGAGTGTGAACCGTGGTTTATTGCCTAGTATCTTGAAGTGGGGTTTGCCAATCTGCAAACAGCAGAAGCTCTTCTGTGTATAAATTAAATTAGAGAATTTAGTTCCAGAGACAGGCTTCTCTGCCAGCTTAACCCAAATACCCCCAACTAGAGGTATATGTGAGGGCAGAATGTGGTCCTCAATCTGAAAGGTAGCTTCATTCTTAATTCAAGAAAAGTGAGTAACAGACTGGATAAGTACCCAAGGTGGCACAGCAACTCAATGTAGGAGACCTGCATAAAATTAGATGTTCTTGTCATGATATAGAGAATCTATGACTTTCTTAAACAAGGAACTGCTTATTATGAAAATCAAGTACAGATAATCAGTCTCCCAGGTTTCTACACAACTTAAGTACCTGCTTTGTCTCTAGTTTTCTTGGAGCTTCACTCTGCCTGGAACACGGCATAGCACATAGAGATATTTAGTGACTGAATAACATACAAGATGTAAATGTATCCAGTGCACTTTAAGAAAAACATGGAGAAATCTGAGGATCCAAAGGAGCATAACAAAACTGATCAAAGGTTTAGAAAACCTGACCTATGAAGAGAGCTTTACAAGAAGAAAGTCCGCATGTTTAATCCTGAGAAAAGAAGGCTGATGAGGTGCTGATAACAGACACTAAATATGTTAAAGGTTCTTATTAAGAAAATGGTAAGGTTAATGTGAACAGATAATCAACAAAATTAATAGTAATGACAAGTGGGAAGGATCACAAATCAAAATTGGGAAAGAACAGATTAAAGAATATTTAGATAAGTTAGTAGGGTCTAATGAAATTTGTTCTAGCATACTCAGAGAACTAGCTGAAGCAATCTTAGACCCATTCTCAGTTATCTTTGAGAACTCATATACAATAGGTGACAGAAGAAGGGCAATAGATATTATGTCTATTTAAAAAGAGAAACAAAAGGAGCCAGGGAATTATGAATCAGTCAGGCTAATGGTGATACCTGGAAAGATACTGGAACATATTATTGAACTCAGTTTGTAAGACCATAGAATTATAAGGAATAGCCAGTATAGTTTTGTCGAGAGCAAATCATGCCAAAATAATTTAATTTTCTTCTTTGTCGAGGTTAATGGCCTAGGGGATGGGGGAGAAACACAAGACATGATATATCTTGGTTTTTGTAAGGTTTTCGACACAGCTCCAGATTACATCTGCATAAGCAAATGACAGAAAATGTGGTCTAGATAAAATTACTGCCAAATACACACACAACTGGTTGAACGATTGCTTAAAGAACAGTTATCAGTGGTTTGCAATCAAACTGGGTAGGCATATCTAGAGGGATCAGTCCTGAAGCTAGTTCTAGGCAATATTTTCATTAATAAGTTGGATAACAGACTGTAGAGTGTGCTTATACATTTTACAGGTGACCCCAAGATGGAAGGAATTGCAGGCACGTTGTAGGACTAGAATCAAAACAACCTTGACAAATTGAAGAATTGGCCTGAAACGAGTTAGGTTAACTTCACAAAAGACAAATTAAAAGTACTTCGCTTTGGAAAGAAAATTCAAGTACATACATAGAAAATGGGGCATAAGTGAATATGATCCAAGAATATGCTGCTACTGTAAAAATGGCTACTTTTCTGGGGTATATTAAGATCACAAATTGAATATGATCCAAGAATATGCTACTACTGTAAAAATGGCTACTTTTCTGGGGTATATTAACAGGAATATTGTATGTAAAACATGGGAGATAATTGATGTGATCTAATTGATGCTGGTGAGGCCTCAGCTGGAGTACCGTGTCCAGTTCAGCATGTTGCTCTTTAGGAAATATGTGGAAAAATTGGAGAGGACAGAGGAGAGCAACAAAAACTGATAAAAGGTTTTGAAAACTTGACCATGAGGGAAGCTTAAAAGAACTGGGCTGTTTAATCTCGAGAAAAGAAGGCTAAGAGGGATTTGATAACAGTCTTTAAGTATAATAAGAGGTGTTATAAAAGGTCAGTGATCAATGGTTCTCCAGTTACCAAGGTAGGACAAGAAGCAGTTACCTTAATCTGCAGCAAGGGAGATTTACCTGAAATATTAGGAAATCTTTCTAACTATAAAGAGGTTGTGAAATCCCCATCATTTGAGGTCTTTAAGAGCAGGTTAGACCTGTCAGAGATAATCTAGGTATATGTGGTTCTGCTTCAGAGCAGCGGGCTAGACTAGATGACGTCTCAAGGTCTCTTCCAGCCTCCTCTAGGATTCTGTATCTTGTATCCTATTCATTTTTTTCATTTTTAATAGATTTTTCCCATTCTTTTCATAACTTGTATGGCAAAGGGGCTAATTGTGACCACTGACATTTCCTAAACTTTGCAATAACATTTGGTTATTGTCGCAAACCACTAAAGAAAATAAATTAATCATCTGTGTTAACCTGATATAATTTCCTTCCAGGTTGGGAAGTGGATAACATGGGGCAAACTCATCCAGGTAGGAAGCAGTTCTGTTGACTTCCTAATTTGTATATATCTTCCCCCGGAACTCATCTTTCTAAATCATTCTGGGTTATGATGTGTCTCCGGTGAAAAATGTAGATAGACACCGGCTATTTTTGCACTTAGTAAATATTGTTATCACAGCAGCACTCCTGAAGGGAAATTAAAAAAATGTGATGTCTTTTAAAATCATTTTAATCTAAATGTTAAAATGGCTTACTCAAACTCATACGGCTGTTTTATAATATAGGGAAGAACCATACCTTAAGATGCTTTGATTTCCTTTAAATTGTATCTTACTTTTTAATGTCTTTGATTTATAGCACATGATTTTGGGATATATTTCAGGGATGTAGTGGGTTTTTATCCTAAATTACTGATATGTACTCTCAATCTTAACTCTAATTTACTGTAGATTTAAAAATATTTATGCTTATGCATGTGTGTAAACTTTAGCATAAGTACATCCAGCATTCAAACGAGAGGGTGAACCCATATTTTGCCTTTTCATCTTTCCCATAGTCAAAACAAAAACAGGCTGTTTATTTAGGACCTGATCCAAAGATGCTGGAAATCAGTAGGAGTCTTTCCATTGACTTTCCCGGACATTGGATCAAACCCATATTGTAGCAGCTATAAACAAACTGTCCTCACTGTATTTCTGGTTTTGTAGGTGATTTTGACCTATTGGATAGCACAGGCCAAACTCCCTTAGGTAAGGAAAAGAAACAAGGATGTTTTATTTATTTAATTTTGCTCTGTTCTCAAGGAATAACCAAGCTTTCTCTCCTGCCAGCTAGAAATTATATTTCAGACCAATTCTAATTATAGTGCCACACTAATAGTGTGTTACTTTTAGTGGCATTAAGAAGAGTTATTCATCAACTGAATGCTACAATCTAGCAATTTATATAATTATAAATTATATTTACTACTGTACCAATAATTATTGAATGGTGTTGAAGAAACCCAACCCTATGATTTATTAGATATTGCTGCAGAGAAATGGGAACTGGTGTGTTCCCATTACTGACAATAACCAAGTCACTTACTGACAGTCACCGAGTACTGGAATACTCACAAATAATGCACTGACTGAATAGGTGTGTTCTGTTCTGTTTATGGATGAACAATATGACACAAAAAAGGCCAATGCCATTGACATGAGATGCTGCCTCACAGAATTGCTCTAAAAATTAAAAGGAATGTGCAGCAGAAAATCTTACTGCAAAAGCTGAAATTGTCATCCATTCTGATTAAGGCTCAATCCAAACAGAAGAAACTGCCATCACTCAATATATAGAAAACATTTTACAGTTCGAGCTCACAAGGCATTCAGAAAAGAATTTGGCACACCCACAAGCAATGGTATAATGTGTCAGGGTGCTTGCGAGAGCTACGGTTTTGCAACAGTCAAGTTTTGGTGGAGTGTTCTGGGTAACTGGGGACGTGAATGAGCATGTTAACCACGTTGGGCTTTAGAATCCTCCTTTTAAACACTTCCACAACTGCAGCCTTTGGACTGTAGCTAAGGTTTATGTTACAAAGGTGTCAAGCCACAAATTGTGTGATAATGCACCAGTTGGTAAAGAAAAATGTATCCGGTGGTTAGATTTGGCAATGGCATTTCCCCAGCAACCTATTGCACATGTATCCTTTCCAGATGTTGGGGACATCAGCAGAAACTGCACAGAGGATGGCTGGTCTGAACCTTTCCCTCATTATTATGATGCCTGTGGATTTGATGAAAATGAAACAGAGAGTGGAAACCAGGTAGGAGCCACTTTGAAAGTAGGTACAAGTTAAGAGCAATGCATATGTGTTAACTGTGTGGTTCAGGGTTCATCAAGGTGAAATTAATGGTTGTTCATGTCCAAAAATATGAGTTTAAAAGAAGCTGGGCTTTTCTTCTATTCTAGTGTTATGCTGCATATTTCCATAATATTGATATGTACAATTTATGTGATGCTAATTAATTAATAATTTTGAACAGGGTTCAAAAAAGAACTACTGTATATATTTGATCATAAGCCCGTTGGTTCATAAGCCAACCCCCCCCCAATTTAAAATAAATGTAAAAAACACAATGACCTGTTCATAAGTGGACTCTCATATCAGCGGTTTGCAAACTTCTGGTACCAGCTTGTCAGCATAAGCTGCTGGCATGTTGGGATGTTTTGTTTACTTGGACCATCTGCAGGAATGGACTCCTGCATTTTCCAGTGTCTGTGATTCACAGTTTCTGGCCAACAATGGTGGCAGGAAGTGACAGCCAGCACATCCCTCAGCCTGCAGCACTTTCCACAGCTCCCATTGGCTGGGAACATTGAACAGCAGCCAATAGGAGCTGAGGAGCTCTGGGAGCAAGCAAACAAACTTCCTTACACACCAGCGGCTTACCCTAAAAGGCGAGGAACCAAAGTTTGCCGAACCATATTGTAGATGCATTTCAGGACTCGCTTCTTTAAAAAAAAAAGTACTAACATTTTATTATTATTTAAATTGTATCTGCATGGAATTTGACCCTTCCACTTCACAAAACTCTAGACCTTACAGGACAATTAGAAAAATACAATGAATAATAGTACTATGTCACTGGGGTCAGTCTGCTACTGTGCAATTTGATCTCTTCATGAATGTTGACCACTGGACCTCCTAAATCTCTAGGGAACCTGAAAATATAATATGCAGAATCAATGACATCTTTAATAAAATAGCCTGTTATCACCCCAGACATGCCAATCTGCAGGGCTTCTTTGAAAGAAACAAAGAACAATTATAATTTAACAGCGATAAAGCAGGTGACATTCCTCTATAAAGTTCTACAAAATCTATAAATTATTTCTAAGATTTTCATACTAGCATTTCAACTGAACAACGGTGAAATCAAAAGAAAATGGTCTGCTTAAGATGCAGCATTTAAAACTTGAGTTGTTGAATATGCAGAAGCAAACAGTAATTATGCTGCTGCTTGGGAAATTCTGTATCAATGAGAAGCAGGTAAGAGAATGATGGGGGGAAAAGCAACACTAAAAGACATGCCAAGAAGCAAGAAAAAACGTCCACCAAGGTGTGCTTCATTTCCTGGGCCAGAGAAAGTGGGTGGTTGAATGTCGATAAAACGAGTACCTTGTCACTAGAATTGGAATTTGCGTGCTCTGCAAATATTAAAAGATGGCAAATACAAGTCAGAAAAGCCATCAGTGTTTGTCGCATCAGCTGGTTGGTGTACTCGCTTCTTGAACTGTCCTGGTCACTATCTTCAGCAGCGAACAAGGATAGCGCAAAAGCTGGTGAGAGGCCTGGAATAAAAAATGAAATCTTTCCTAAGGTTTATTACAAAAAATCAAAAGGAAAATGTGCATTTCAGCTGTCACAAATAGGTAATCTGGATGAAACACCAATGACATATGATCTCCCAAGCAACAGAACAGTAACTGGTGTTGGTTGAAAAATTGAAACCACTGGCCATGAAAAAAATCCATTTTACAGTGGGTATATCATGTTTGGCCAATGGATCAAAGCTCTATCCTGTTCTTATTTTTGAAAGAAAAACCTTGCCTAAAACCATGAAATTTCCTGTGAATGTCAACCGACATGCACATGAAAAGGGATGCATGGATGAAAGTGGGACTATTGAATGGCTGGAAAAAGTGTGGAATAAGAGACCAGGAGAACTTCTCAAGAAACCTTCTATGCTTGTTTGGAACATGTTCAGGGCACACAGGAGGGATGTGGTGAAACATGTGGCCAAAAAATTGAAAACTGCTTTGGCTGTGATACCTGGAGGCTTAACTTCTATTCTACAGCCACTTGATGTCAACCGAACAAACCTTTTAAAGATAGGCTATGCACAATGTGGTCTGACTGGGAATCTTCTGAAGCCCAAAGTCTATCTAGTTGCCCAGGGGGTCAAGGATGTGTGGGAGTCTATCTCTTTGGAATTGAATGCGCTTGATGGGTCAGAAGACGACATCATATTTGCTGATGACACAACGGAGGCTGATGATAAGGAATCCGAGTCCGAAGATGACATTGCAGACATCTATGATGTCAATGCAGGAGCAGCTGTGACTGAAGCTCACTTTAATGACCTGTGGTGAATTGGAGACTGATTCAGAGTTTGAAGGGTTTTAAGACTTTAAATAAGTGCATTAGAATGATATGTGATGTTCAAACAGGCACTGTAGTTTTGAAAGTATATGAATACATAGTTGTTCAGTTAAAAGGTGTCTTTCCTAGAGTGCATTAAAATTAATCTACTAAAATGTGTGTGTTTCTTCTGATGCCAACTTTTAAAATACAGCAGAGTCCACAGCATGGTCAGTTCCCACCCAAGCAGTGCAAATTGCTGGTGTGCCTGGATGTTTGTGTCTTGGAGTGTCCGCAGGCACAGAGCTTCTCAGCTCCCATTGGCTTCTCTTCACTGTTTCCAGCCAATGGGAGCTGTGGGAAGCAGCGTGGGCCAAGGGGCATGCTGGCTACCACTTCCCACCACTCCCGTTGATCCGGAATGGGGCTCCAGGTACATAAAACATCCTGGTGCACCAGCAGTTTGCTCTGCTGGGCTGGGAACTGAAGTTTGCCCCCCCTCTCCGCAAGATTTAAAAAAAAAGGGTAAAAATGCAATGACCCGTTCATAAGCTGACCCCCACTCTTTACAGTGTCATTTTTTACCAAAAAAAATTGGCTTATGATTGAGTATATATGGTAGATAAATTCATGGATGATAGATCCATCCATTTTTATTAGCCAGCATGGGTAGGAATGGTGTCTTTAGCCTCTGTGTGTCAGAGGCTTGGAATAGATTACAGGAGAGGAAGCAACTGTTCATTCCTTCCGGAGCACCTGGCATTTCCTCCTGTCAGAAGACCAAATAGTGGGCAAGATTGACCTTTGGTCTGACCCACTATGGCCATTCTTATGTTCTTATATTTGAGAATAGAGTACAGTCTACCCTAAAGTAAGCTGCTGTGCTTTTGAACAATGCAGGAAGTACCCATTGTACTTGCAAACATTTAGGTTTTTCCCCTCACGCTGTCAGTCACTTCTGTAATGCAGTATGTCACAGGCAGTTGAATCTATGCTAACCCCGGTCATTGTATATGGTCATGGTACATGTTCATGAAGTCACCATGTATGAACCCAGTCACATTCATGTTTCTCACACAAGCTATTCCATTAAGGCGTGAGGTAACTGGAATTACTCTCATGAGTGAAGTGAGCGAGATCTGGCCCCTATGTGACAGTTCTATTGGTGACCACGTGCTCTTTGTTTCTCAAGGATTACTACTACCTCTCCGTGAAGGCTCTGTACACAGTGGGATACAGCACTTCCCTGGTATCGCTCACCACCGCAATGGTTATCCTGTGTCGTTTCAGGTGAGTCCCCAATGAGTTGTTGCTTATCTCTGTTTAGGAAGGACAGAAGATCAGGTCCCATGGGACCAAAAAACCTCCCAGAAAACAAATCAAATGCTTGGCCTCAGCAGTTACAAAAATAAGATGCCAGCAATCTCTTAAAAATCAGGGGTCAATTGAATCTTGGTTTTGTTCATAGTTTACTGCACATGGGATTGGAATTTCCAAAGCACTCAGTATTAGGTGCTTATCTGGCCCCCATTACCACAGAAACCAAACATTTCATGATCTTTTAACATATTTATCTTCAGAATAACCTTGGGAAATAGGATAGTGCTATCATACCCCCTTTGCAGATGGGAAAACGAGGCACAGAGAAACTTAATGACTTATCTAAGGTCACCATCTTTTCTCCCTAAGGGTATGTCTACACTAGCCCCCTAGTTCGAACTAGGGAGGCTAATGTAGGCATTCAAACTTGCAAATGAAGCCTGGGATTTAAATATCCCAGGCTTTATTTGCACGTTCCCGTCCGGGCGCCATTTTTAAATCCCCTTAGTCCAAACTAACTGCCCGTGGCTACGCGCGGCAGTCAAACGTTAACTCGAACTAAGTCCTTAGTTCGAGTTAACTGTTACACCTCGTGGTTGTAACAGTTGGAATGAGGTCTACCTAGTTCGAATTAAGCACTCCGCTAGTTCGATTTAAATTCGAACTAGTGGTTTGTATATAAAGCCACTTTTAAAGTTAATTTGAACTAACGGCTGTTAGTTCAAATTAAATTTGTAGTGTAGACATACCCTAAGAGATTAATGAAATCTTTAGGTCATCGGTGAAATGACCCATTTCCAGTCCTACTCAGGTAAATGGGACTATTGCCATCGACTTCAATGTGAGCAGAGTTATGATGGGCACTTCTGAAGGTACCGTCCATGATGTCTTCATGGAAAGTTCTACAGGAACCAGCTCTCATACCTGTGTGCTCACTGGCCAGGAAAATTAACCACAGACATTGTCTAATGGATATCACCTCTTATGCCAGGAAAGCAAAGTTCCCCTCCATCTCAAAACCTAAACCTCCCATGCAAAGACACAAACTGAATCAAACATTTTGGCTGTAATTCATTAAGCGATGCTAACATATAAGCAAATGCATTTAAAATCTTCCATAGAAAATATTTTTTCATGCAATGCAGTTGGCCAGTAGAATCATAATATCCTCAAGGCTACAAGGTCAGTTAGTTAAAAAAAATGCTCAGGTGTCCCAGGCCTTGAGCAGTGCCGTGGAAAGCACAGAATACTCTTTCCTGAGTTTCTGGATTAGCTGGGGTCACAAATGTTCCAAATCCATGGATTCAGGCATGAAACAAACAGTCTTCATTTATTCTTGAGAGAGAAATCAGTCATGGCCCCTTCCCACCCCTTTTCTTCTCTCCTTTTCCTTTTCCTAGGAAGCTTCACTGCACTCGGAACTTTATTCACATGAACCTCTTTGTTTCGTTTATTCTACGAGCAATATCGGTCTTCATCAAGGACGGGATTCTGTACGCTGAACAGGACAGCAACCATTGTTTCATATCCACCGTGAGTAGAAGTAAAGCTGGAGCCACCTGCTTTTCTAGAGGAAGAGGATGGTGATGAACTATTTGTATTGCAGTTGCTTCTGGAGGCCTTCACTGGAGATCTGTCCTCCATTGTGTTTGACTCATACAAATGCATAGTAAGAGAGAATCCAAACCTGCATCATGATCAGCTTGCAACAGGCCAACCAACAGCAATTCTGGGCTCCAGGGCAGAATGCCCCCTCCCTTAGCCTGAGTTTGGAGATGTCCCCCCCCCCGAGGAGCCCGCCAAGCCCAGCACCAGCCCCAACTTGCTTAGATGGGTCCCAGGGCAGCTTCACCACACCTCCCCCCCCTTCCCCAGCCTCAGCCTGCCTGCTCTGGGGAAAGCTATCGCAGCATCTCTTGACTCAAAGATGATTTTGATATGCTCCATTCAGGTTCCAGAGCAGGGTTACTGGGCCCTGGAAGCTGCATGGGAACTATCGAAAGCAGCTTTGAATCAAGAGACACTTTCCCTGGAGCAGGCAGAGGTACAGCAGCAGCAACCCTGTCCCCAGGCCCTGTTAAATCACCCAGGCCCCAGGTCAATTGCCCCGTTTGCCCTTCCACCATGCCCCCACTGGCAGGCCTGGCTGGTGGTGTAATTTTCAGCTCGAAAAGTCATTCCTGCACTGGCTCAGTTCAAATTCAACAAATGCTTTTGGCTGAATTGTTTTTAGAGCGACTAAATATTCTATAGTGACCATTTTTATTTTGGAAAATGTTGCTTTAAATTGTTGACTCAGAATGGGATTTCAAATTAACTTTTGGCCAGCTGTTTAAAAAAAAAAGAAGCAAAAACAAAGGGAGAAAACCACCATAGATCACTAATTAAAAATGAAGCAACTGATTTTTAAAGAAACCACACATAGGTTTCAAGCCACCAAAACCATTCTAAGAGTAGCTCCATTCAAGTTGTACCAATTTACACTGGCTGAGGATGTGTGCAGGGGGATGGAGTGCAAAGGGAGACAACCAGATGGCTCCTTCTCCTCATACTTCACGGATGATCGTCCCGTTTTCAGGGCTATTCTGTGGCATCATTTTGAGTGGCTGATGTTCAGGCCCACTGACGGGTGGCAAAGGGGGTAATTGTCCTGGGCCTGGTGATTCAAAGGGGCCCAGAGCCATGTTCCCACTAAAGTGCACATCTGCGCGGCCATGCACAAAAATTTCTTCCCCCGCCCACCTCCTCTGGAGAGCCATGCAGCAGCACTTGCGCGGCAGGTGGCTGCACTGGTGGGCGGGGCCGGCTTAGATGGCATGGTGAGGGAGCCACTGGGACAGGAGGGCTGTGGGAGGGAGGTTGGGGAAGGAGGTCTGCTCTGGTGGCCGGAGCTGCTACGTGGAGGTGGGGGCCAGGGCCAGTTCTAGCAACTGGGGCTGGGAGGGACCTGCCACATGGTGGAGGGGGGAGTGTTTGCTCCAGCGACTGGGAATGCATGTGTGCTAATAAATTGGGTGCCACAGAGGCGCACATCCAAACCAGCGCACATGACCTCAATGCTGGTGCACAAGCCAAAACTCACTCTGCTCATGGTTGGAAAACCTTAGAGAGAACACTGCCACCACTACTACTACCCTTTGAATTGCTGCTTTGAGGACGGGGGCATGGGAGAGGAGAGGAGTTCGCCGTAATCTGGGTGGTACTAAAAGCTGGTCCTGGCTCTGCCTCTTCCTCCCGAGGCCCCGCCCCCTCCACGGGAGCGGAACCAGGCCCCCAACAGCTTACCCCAATGCCCACAGTGGCCGTTGTCCCTGCTGATGATGCCGCAGAGTCAGTGTCATCCTGCTGATTTGCAACATTGCAAAGACAAGTCTCCCCACACAAACTCTGTATAGGGCTCAGCAGACTCCACCAGAGCTTGGTAGATTTGTAGCTTTGTTTAAAACTTTTTCCCATTTGCTTTTCATGTAAATCACTCGGCTTTCTTCACACTTATGCCCACTCTTCATTTTCCGGCGCTGAGTGACCGCCCTCCCCCTAATTACAGTGAAGAACATTTCAGAACTTTGCACACAGTAGGGTGCATCCTTTATGGACCATTCCACAATCTCAGGTCTTTATTTCTACTTAAAACCCTTTTTTAGATTTATTTACAACACTGGATTCTTTTCTTACTTGCATTTAAGGGAAGGAGGACTCTAATCTAGCAATTAGCTGCTATTGTTGACATGCACCTTAAGTAGTTCTTAAGCTGCCTGAAAGCAATTACAAAATACCATCTAAGGGCTAAAATTGATTTTCTGCCCTTTAGAGCTGCACTTTCTAAATGGCTTTGAACAGTTTCCATAAGCTCTTTAGATGTTCGTATAATAAAATAAAAGGCCAGATGGTTTTACTTGTTGTTTGAGGATTTGGGGATTTGTGTCTAGTTGTCATATCCCTGTCAAATTTTGGGGGGAACAGAAAAATAACTTTATTTGTGCTTGGTTTTGTAGGTGGAATGCAAAGCAGTGATGGTCTTTTTCCATTATTGTGTCATGTCCAATTATTTCTGGCTGTTCATCGAGGGACTATACCTTTTCACTTTACTGGTTGAGACCTTTTTCCCAGAAAGGAGATATTTTTATTGGTACACCATCATTGGCTGGGGTAGGTGGCATATCTTACATGGGCTTTGTAGCCTTAGTGCATGCAAAATGCTTTACTTCTTCACACAATACATAGTCAATCTGTGGAACTCCTTGCCAGAGGATGTTGTGATGTCCAAGATTATAATAGGGTTCAGAAAAGAGCTAGATAGATTCATGGAGAATATGTCCACTAATGGCTATTAGCCAGGATGGGCAGGAATGGTGTCCCTAGCTTCTGTTTGTCAGAAGCTGGGAAAGGGATGGATCACTTGATGATTCTCTGTTCTGTTCATTCCCTCTGACCACTTGGCATTGATCACTGTTGGAAGACAGGATACTGCCCTACATGGATCTTTGATCTGACCTAGTATGTACTCACCCTACTTTTTTCTTGAAATGAGGAGTTAATGGAGAACAAGAGAATGAGCGTAATCAAAGTAGAAATCACTTGGTGTTTTCAGTCACCAACTCCGGGGACTTGCATTTCCTTGCTCCTCATGTGTTTGTATGTACAAGTGCGTGTGGCATGAAACGTACCAGGAGGGCATCCTTATCTGCCACCTGTGACAAAGCTCCTCCTTAATTTTAGTGGGTCCTGCCCTTTCAGACACATGACTTGCCTCAGAGGCTCACAACAGCCTTGATTTAGACACCAGCTTGCTGTTTGTTGAGCTACTGTCATCATTGGCCAGCATGGGGAAAAGAGGGGAACCAAACTTCACGGTCTCTCCCAGTGGGACAGAGTAGGACAGACCCTTGTACCAAAGCCAGTCTCTGTCTAAAACTGTAATGGGGAATTGGTGGAGGAACCCGGGCCTGCCCTCTACTCTGGGTTCCAGCCCAGAGACCCTGTGACAACAGCTGTCTGTAATGTCTCTGGTAACAGCTGCATGATAGCTACAAATTCCTGGGCCACTTCTCCATGGCCTTCCTGAGCCCCTTCCTTATTGGAGGCGTCAATCATGTCTGGTAGCTGATGAATGAGTGGAAGGCATGTCCAAGCAACACCTGCTTAGGAACCCAGGGATGGATAGGTAAGAGCTAGCTGTCTTGGAAAGAAACACATCGTGCTGTAAAGAGCTGACTCCTGTGATGACATGTAATGTGATTATTTGCAATGTGAAACTTCTGGGACCAATCCTTCCCTCAGGCGTGTTAATCGGAGAGTCTGTCGTTGAAATGTTGGCTAAGACTCCAAGATACCAGACACAAGAGAAACTGTTGATTGTAACTGCTGGTCTCAGGTTTCAAGGGTAGGCCCAGTGTTACATTTTGCATGACAACCGTTACCTTCAAAACTGATCCTGAATAGAAATAACCTCTGAGAGTAATTTAAAAAACCCAAAGAAACTTGACAACGTGTGCAGCTCTGCTTCTTCTGCTTGTTGTCTTCTTTTAGTGCCCACAGGCCCCAAGAGGGTTGAGGACCCCACTCTGCTAAGTGCCATACACACGCATGCGAGGCAGCTCCTGACATGACAATCATACACTCTACACAGTGGAAGGGGAAACAGAGGCACAGAAAGATGAACTGAGAAAGCCAGGCATAGAGCTTTGGTCTTTGAGTCCCAAGCCAGAGTCTAAGCTTACTCAGTGACGCTGCCTCTCATCTGATCTAAGAGTATGCCTACACTACAGTTTTTTCGGAAAAACAGCCTTTTTCCCGAAAAAACTTCACTTACGTCCACACTGCAATTGCATTCTTTCTAAAAAAAAATCGAAAGACAAGAGGGGTTTTTTCAACATTGGTAAACCTCTTTCTACGAAGTGTTGCAACTTGGTTCGGAGATGTGGTGGGGGCCCCAAAGAGTAAAGCTGATTACCCAGTGAAAACTACTGGATGATGGTAAAACAAATGATTTTTATTAAATGCAATGATTCTTTTATCAAAACCAAATAACTTTCAAATGATTTTGAAAACAAGCAATTACCTAATGCTTATACAGGGTGGAAAAACCTAAACTTAGCTATACTCAACTAATTACAAACTTCTTTGATCACAATTCAACTATACCAAATCACTGTTTCTAATTCTCTTAAGGCGCAACAGACAAACAAAAAGTACAAAAAACAAAGCCAAAATAATAATAATAAAAACTCCGCCCACAGTCAATCCTTCTAGTGTTATTTTTGGACAGCTGGTGGAGTTAGTCATTGATCTACTGTTATAACTTGACAACTCCTGGGTTTTTACTTCTATCACTTGCACCTGGCCTAAAAATATAACACTACTATGCAACACAGAATTACACAATCTATACAGTGCGATTAATATGACTCATTTACACTCTACAAAATTACACAGTGTAATTAACACAATTCAACTATTAACTAAACTAATGATTAATATGTTTTAAGCAATACTTACAAATCCAGCAATGATAACAGCTTAAAGACACACAAGAACTCGGAGCATGCTCAGAACTCGCACGCCCCTATCTTTGACTCAAAGGGCGGGGAGGCAGCCTCAGGGTGATCAATCCTTCAGCCAGGCAAAAAGACACGTGCCCTCAATACACGGAACTTCCTCGAACAAAGGGGTAGAGGGTCTTTATACCATAACCAGATATCTGATACCATATTAGGATTTGAACTAACCTGATAGGCTAAAGTGCTCTTACAATGGGACAGTATGACGTAGTTGCTTTGTATGATTTGTGCAGCACCTGGCCAAATGTCTATGTTTTATTTTTCTGTTTTGGTGCCAGTAAGATAAGTTATTTTTTACTGGACTGATGTGTGAGACAGTTCAGTTTTTCTGTTCCCAGGGACAGCTAAATGAGGCTATTCTGGTCAAAGTGATATATATGTTAACAGTTTGCCTCCTATTCCTTGGGCCAGCTAAATTAAGTTTCTGCAGCTGCGTCTTATCTCTTTATGCTCACTCCCTGCTTCTGCCTGTTCTTTGATGCCTGCAAGGCCAAATTCCATTTACTGAAACTGCATCTTGCGCTTACAAGTTATGCTTTGAATCAGAATGCCTTAGCGGCCTACCTTCGCTGTGAGTGGTTTTATTATGGCAGCTTTGGACAATATGCACGAGGCCAAGATCAAAAGGACCTGCTCTGTGACACAAGGAAGAAGCCTTTTTCCGAAAGAGCTCTTTCGGAAAAAGGCATGTGTGGACGGGGAAGAGAGAGTTCTTTCACAAGAAGAGGAAAAAGGAAAAAGCACAGGTGTCTGGTGGCCACTCCGGCCACTTGTAATCACAGCTTAAATACAAGATAGTGTCCATTCAGTGTGGATGCTATCTTTGGAAAAAGCGGATCACTTTTTCGATGTGCTTTTGCTGTGTAGACACTCTCTTTTAGAAGAAGTTTTTTCGGAAGATATCTTCCGGAAAAGCTTCATCCAAAAGAAGCCCACAGTCTAGACAAGCTGCACCCCCAAAGATCTGATGGAAGGAGCTTGGCCTGTGTCTGTTAGTGCATCTGAATAGAGGATTAAATAATAAGACAATGTACAGACATGCTGACCAAGGGACTGTCAATCTAGCTAGTTAAAGAACCAGTCCATAGTGCAACCCCATCTCAGCTGAATATCAGTACAGTTAAATGTTAATAAATATGATCCCATCAAACACCAGTATTTGTCATTAATATTTAGTGAACATCCAAAAAAAAAAAAAGCATATCCTGAGACAAACTCAGGACTACTTAATGCTTTTCCAAAACAATCCTATTGTAGAGTTTGGGGTCATTCCTGGCACCGTTTTGTTTGTTTCTCCATCACTAAAACATAAAATCACAGGGGAAGATGACTGTGTGTCAACTGGAACTGGTGTGTGATGTGCAAAGAGGAGCTATAAATAACAATAAGCAATTAATGATTTCTCCATCTTATCTTTTGTAGGCACCCCGACAATTTGTGTCACTGTCTGGGCTGTGCTGAGACTTCACTTTGATGACACTGGGTAGGTACCATTGGGTGAGAAACTCTCCAATGACCTTATTTTCACATTTCAACTCACTGTTAAGTGAAGTACAGAAGAGAAGAGGTCTGGAGACTAGAACAGGGAAATGGGCTTCAGGAGCCTGGCTTCTATTCCCAGCTCTGCCACTAACTTATTGTGTGACTTTGGGAAATTTGCTTAGACTAAACCACTCTGCGCCTCAGACTGGACCCTAAATACCCTTATAGGCACAGCAGTAGACATGATAAAATATTCCGAGTTACTGCCCTTTGGAATCAATGAGAATTGGGGGTGAATCCCTGAATATTAGATCCCAGTTCACCAGAGACTGGAGATGTTTTGATGTGATGTTCTGGGTCAAGCCCACCTCTCTCAAATCTTCTTCTTAGGCTTTGTCTAAGCTGACAATTGAGCGGCAAAACTTTTGTTGTTCACAGGTGCTTACATCCACCCTCCCCTGAACAACAAAAGCTTTGCCTCGGCAAGTACTAGTGTAAACAGCGCTTTGTTGGCAGGAGCAGTCTTCCAACAAAGCAGATGCTGCTTATAGGGGGTAGAATTTTTTTGTCAGTAAAAGTGCCGGCAAACTGTGTTTACACTACCCGACTTTCAGCAGCACGGCTGTGTCGGCAGCCACGTTGCTAACAGCTGTGTAGTGTAGACAAAGCCTCTGGCTACGTCTACACTGGCCCCAAATTCCGGAAAAGCGATGCAAATCAGGTAAGTCAGCATAGGGAAATCCGCGGGGGATTTAAATATCCCCCGCGGATTTAAATAAACATGTCCGCCGCTTTTTTTCCGGCTTGGGGAAAAGCCGGAAAAAAAGCGTCTAGACTGGCGTGATCCTCCGGAATAAAGCCCTTTTCACCTGAGGTAGGAATACCTGTCATAAAAGGTTAGGGTTAGGGTTAGGGTTTGGGTTAGGGTTAGGGTTAGGAAGTAGGGTTTGAAGTAGGAATAAGAGATCCTCCGGAAAAGGGCTTTATTCCGGAGGATCGCGCCAGTCTAGACGCTTTTTTTCCGGCTTTTCCCCAAGCCGGAAAAAAAGCGGCGGACATGTTTATTTAAATCCGCGGGGGATATTTAAATCCCCCGCGGATTTCCCTATGCTGACTTTCCTGATTTGCATCGCTTTTCCGGAATTTGGGGCCAGTGTAGACGTAGCCTTAGTGTTTCAGTGACCCGCTACACATAAAAACCTCTCTCCATGGACCATTTATGTTCTGTTTTGAGGTGAAGACCAATGAAATCACCTATTTCCAGGCCAAACAAGCCACAGACCCCTGTTGTGTCATTATGATAATTAAAGAACTGGTCCTAAATGCATTAATTTCTTTTAGCAGCCCAGATGGCCCTTGCTTTGAGGGAGTAAATATCTCCGGGGAACGTCTTTGCTGCCTTCTGTCTTAAAAGTTGATTAAGATGAAGCACATTTAGATGGAGTCTTGCTGAGTCTGTCAGAGGCTATTTTCTTTTATGAAAGATCAATGAGGTTTCTTCGGGGAGGGAGGAAGAGCCAGTGTGAGTCTGAAAACACTTAAGAAACTACAAACAGAGCTGAAATATAAAGACACTTACTTCAACTCCTGATTCACCCCAGGATGAGTGAGAAGGGAATTGGGCCTCTAGGATTAGATGGTCTGTCAATCCTGCATAATACACTGATGGGAACGGTGTCACACCAGAGATTAGAATTTGGCATCTTAAAATGGGAAGGGGCCTTCCCCCCCTGCAGAAGTCATGTGGTTCTGGTCTCCACAGCAGTAAGCCACTTAGACCTGGAACACAACCCGTCTGGGGAGTGCAGTCTCTCAGTCGATATTTACATGCCTTCCTGTTTCCTCCTTGTTTTTCATATTCCAATGTGACTCATACAAAAGGGGAAAATGGCTGCTGATTCCACTCCTTCTATCCAGTGGAAGGCTCATGGGTTGGTTTTGGGAAACCTGCAGTTGGCCGTTGTAATTGCTTTGTTAGAAACCAGGCCGTGGGCAGTCCGGTTCATCGGACAGTGCAGGAGTCATGCCCAGTGACCTAATGGCCGGGTCTCTCTACCAGGACTGATGGAGAAATTGCAGATCTGTGCATCACTGTATCGGGCCCGTGTTTTGCAACAAGCACCCAGAAGATGGGATTTGGCTTATAAACATTTCCTCTATCCCCACACACCTTCACTCAACAAAAAGACCACAGGTTTTAATTGATAGGTTTCTACTTTTCCTTGCAGAGTTTGTAGGCAGGCATTTGAAATGTGTAAAAAGTAAAAAATAAACTTTTATAATAATAATATTTCCTTTTTACTGTTGGTTAGCATCTGACAATACATCACTTGCACCAGTTTTGGTTACGGCAGAGGTGGGCAATAAAACGGTGGCAGTTCACCAGCATTAGCTCTTGGAGGGCCACTGCCAGTATATTTACCTGCATCTCCAGAGGCATAGGCAACTGCAGCTCCCATTAGCCAGAAATGGTGATCCATGGCCAACAGGATCTGCGATCCCACAGCGCGGACTGGGACAGCACTTCCCCCAGCTCCCATTGGCCCAGAAAAGTGATCCGCAGCAAATGGGAGTTGCATTCACCCATATCTGCAGAGGCTCAGGTAAATATAGTGGTGGTGGTCTTCCAGGAGCTAACCCTGGTGGACTGTATTTGGCCTGCAGGCAAGAATTTGCCCATTGCTGCATTGGGTTTAGCTCACAACTTTAAGTGCAAAGCATTTTGTGATGTCTGATGGTGTTAGGAAAATAAACCTCAATGAGTAACCATGTTTGGTTTGTTATAAATTAGAAATGTAGACAGAAAGTTGTGCAGGGTGGGGATGGGAATGGGAGGGAAAGTCCCGTACAAAAGATATGTAGGCATGTACAAAAGAAAAACATTTGCACTATTTTCCCAATTCTAGAAACCCGTCCAAGGCCCAAAATCCCAAACAATTGGATGACCTAGTTAGCCTTCACATGAGTATTTGCATGGAGTGCTCATGCCGTTTCATAGGAGTCATTTGTGCATATGAAGGCAGAATGCAGAACAATGGGCAGAAAGGCCTTTTACTGTAATGATAGACTGCTACAGAGGATGTTAAGGAGTGAGTAAAAAGGGACCTAACCCTTTGCCCAAAACTCAGTCTGAACCTTTTAAAATGAAACTTTGCTCTTCTGTACAGTCAACTTCAAAACACCCTTTTAAGCTAGTTATGTGCTGAGATCCCCATTTGCACATAGGCACTTAGGGCTAGATTTTCAAAGGTGCCTAAAGAGGGAGCTAGGTGGCTAGCAGGACTTTTGGCAGTGCCTAGCAGGGGAGGGCAACTCACAGACTTCAAGGTCAGAAGGGACCACCATGATCATCCAGTCTGACCCCCTGCACAGTGCAGGCCACAGAATCTCACCCACCCCCTCCCAGAATAATCCTCTCACCTATATCTCAGATATTGAAGCCTTCAAATACTTTGAAGACCCCAAGATGCAGAGAATCCTCCAGCTGTGATCTGTACCCCATGCTACAGAAGAAGGCAAAAAACCTCCAGGGCCTCTGCCAATCTACCCCAGAGGAAAATTCCTTCCTGACTCCAAATATGGCGATCAGCTAAACCCTGAGCATGTGGGCAAGACTCACCAGCCAGACACCCAGAAAGTTCTCACCTAACTTGGACTGATTTCAATAGGAGTTAGGGAAGTCAGTCTCAGAGACAGGAGTGGGCACCCTTCTTTCTTTAGTCTAAGTCTTGTGCTGTCCTCTTGTGGCAAAGTTCCAGGAGAAGAAAAGATCAATTTACTGCAGTGCCCCGTGGTGTCTTTATCTTTCCCTCTTTCTTCCCCTGAATGCCCCTTTCTTATTTAATTATTTTAGTTGCTGGGACATGAATGATAACACCGCCCTGTGGTGGGTCATCAAGGGGCCCGTGGTTGGATCAATAATGGTAAGTCCCATACGGGAGAGAGAGCTCTTCGGGCTGTCCATGTGAGCTAAAACTGAGGTAAAACCAATTGCTCTGCAGGTGGCCAGGTTGGAAAATATCCAGGTATTGCTGCTCCCATTGGAGCTGACGGGATTTCCGGGTCCCTGGGCAAAGTGGAGGGGCCCCAGCTCCCTGCTCATGGAAAGGGCGGGGCCTCAGTTAGCCTGACCTCTGGACTTTTAGAATTGCCAGGTTCCAGGGCAACAGCCCGCTTTGCCCTCCCTGTTGGTGGGCCTGACTGCTCCCAGATTCCTGGACTCCACTAGCATGCAGAGCCGCTCTCTGGCTCTTAATAGCAAGTCATGCAAATCTCTTCTTCAAGTGATTAATGAATGGAACAAACTACGGAGGGAAGTGGTGGATTCTCTGTCTGCTGGATGAATTTTTGGAAGACATGCTTTACTCAAACACAAGTTCTATTGGGTTGAGTACAGGAGAGCTACATGGAGGGAATAGCCAGCCATTCTGAGCAGCCAGGGCTGTGGCAGTCAGAGAACCTGCCTTAGTTCCCTGCAGGGCTGCTGACCGGGAACTGCCTAGCTAAGTGCCACGTGGCCAGAATTTGCTTCTGGCACACCCACTCCGACCCTTCCCTGAATTCCCTGCCCTAGGGCACTACCCCTTCCTGCCCCAGGGCACCACCCAAACTCTCTGCATCCCTTTCCCCCTCTCTGCCAGGTCACAACTCCCTCCCAGACCCTGCACTCTCTCTTACATTCCTTCCACAGGCCAGAATCCTCTCCTGCATCCATATCCCTGCCCGGACCCTGTATTCTACTCCCCAGCACGAGATCACAATCCACTCCTTTACCTAAACTCTCTCTCTCAGACCCCACACCCTCTTCTGCACTCCCATCCCCTACTCTGAGCTCCCTTCTGCACCCATCCTCCATCCCAGACCCTATACTCCCTCCAAAGAAAAGTGTGAACCTCCTTGGCCACTTACCAAAATGTTGAAGTGACCCTCCCCTTCAAAAATATTTCCCACCCCTGCCCTAGAGGATACGCAGGTGACAGAACTTCCACCCCTCTCCCTTGGGGTTTTCAGTGAAGGGAAATTGCAAAATGATGTCTGGGGCTGCGTTAGTGGATGCTGCTAAGGCGTTGTACTGAAGCTGGTTGCAATTTTTTTACTATATTTTTAATAAGAAATCATTAGCATGAACATAAAAATGTATCTGTAGGAACAAAATATTTGATTTTTTTCTGAAAAAAAAAAAGAATTTTAGAGCCTGGTGGCCATGTTTGAGTTTACTTGTGAGGCTTTTTTAATCAAAAAATTCAATTTTTTTCACAGACACAGAAATGGGATTTTTTTCTCCCATTCTAGTGTTCATTTGGGGCATCTCCCAGCTGCCACAGCTAGCCCCTCACTAGCCAGTACTGCTTGCAAACCCTCTTTCTGTCTGTCCTTCTGAAGAAGAGGTTGCAACTGTTTTATACCACCACACCTGCTCCATTTGATGGACAGTCTACCAAGAGGTCCCCCCCCCCCCTCACACACTTGCACTTGCCTGAGAGCTGAATCTGACCTCATGGCTCCAAGAGCAATAGAGAAAAACCACATGCATTACCCTAGCTCAGTAAAGCCTGGTCTACACTAGGAAACTATTTCAAAGTAACAAAAGTCAATTTAATAACTCCTGAAATAACAAGTGGGTTGTGCCCATGAAAGCTCATGATACCATCTACGTGTTTTGTTAGTCTATAAGGCTATGTCTCGACTGCAGGCTTCTTTCGAAAGAGGCTCTTTCGAAAGCATCTTTCGAAAGAGCCTCTTTCGAAAGAGAGCGTCTAGACTGCACGGAGAAATTTCGAAAAAGCAGCTTGCTTTTTCGAAAGAAAGCATCCAGTGAGTCTGGATGCTCTCTTTTGAAGAAGCCCTATTTACATTGAAGAACTCCTTCTTTCGAAAGAGGAACTTTCGAAAGAAGGCGTTCTTCCTCGTAAATTGAGGTTTACCGCCATCGAAAGAAAAGCCGCGTTCTTTCGAATTAATTTCGAAAGAACGCGGCTTGAGTCTGGACGCAGGGGAAGTTTTTTCGAAAAAAGGCTACTTTTTTCGAAAAAACCCCTGAGTCTGGACACAGCCTAAGGTGCTACTAGACCATTTGTTGTTTTTCAAATTTAACATTAAAATAGTGTGTCCTCACTACGGGGAAACTTTGTAATTAGTCTGAGGCAGACTCTGTTAATGTGAATGCGCTACCTATACTTAAAGCCCTAGGAAGCACTGGGGAGTAATTAGTTCGAATTACTCCGGGGAGTAGTTATTTCAAAATAGCGGCACCGGAACGTCCACGCTACCACTATTTTGAAATAACTATTACAAAATTAGCGCTCTTCCTTGAGGAATAAAATAATGCTACTCAGCGGCCCCCGATTTTGAAATAACGGGCTTGGTCGTATGGACGTTCTGCTTGTAAATTCGACCTAAGCGGGGTTATTTTGAAATAAAGCCCTCGGCTGTGTCTAGACTAGCCAGTTTTTCTGGAAAATCATCCGCTTTTCCAGAAAAACTTGCCAGCTGTGTACACTGGCCTCTTGAATTTCCGCAAAAGCACTGACTTCCTACTGTAAGAAATCAGTGTTTTTTGCAGAAATACTATTCTGCTCCCGTTCGGGCAAAAGTCCGTTTTGCGCAAAACTTTTGCGTAAAAGGGCCAGTGTAGACAGCTGAGATTTGTTTTGCGCAAAAAAGCCCCGATCGCGAAAAGGGCGGTCGGGGCTTTTTTGCGGAAAAGCGCGTCTAGAATGGCCACGGACGCTTTTCCGCAAAAAGTGCTTTTGCGGAAAAGTGTCCGTGCCAATCTAGACACTCTGTTCCAAAAATGCTTTTAACGGAAAACTTTTCCATTAAAAGCATTTGTGGAAAATCATGCCAGTCTAGACATAGCCCTCGTGTAAACCACGGCCAAGAGAACCAATCAGCTCTTCCTTCATGCATAGCCTGGATTCTGACGGTTGCTGAGTGCATTGTCAATGGGATTGGAAGGTGCTCAGGACGGAGTTTTGGCCAGCCAAGCACAGGCATTCAAGGTCTGTTTCCATTGCAGTGTTTGAGAATGACAAATGCTGACAAAGTTGACTTAAGCCTCCCATCGATGGTTGCTGGTAAAAGCATGCTCAGGCATGCCAGGGAGTCTGTGCCCACAACACCTTACGGCCGTTGTGAAAGTGGGAAGACTGCCTTCCCGGCATACTACCCCACTACCACTCATGAGCCTGCAAGGTGCCCTCTCCACAGAAATTCTGCAGTTTCAGCTCCGCGGGTTTTGGAGGAGAGAGGCAATGGGGCCAGCGAAGCAGACTCCCCCTGTCATATTAGCAGAAATATGACAGTGCTAGTAGCATTTCTCCCCCTATGCCCGGATTGCTTTTCAGGTCTCTTTCCTCCTTCTCTTCCCAGATCAATTTTGTTCTTTTCATTGGCATCATCGTTATCCTTGTGCAGAAACTCCAGTCACCTGATATTGGGGGCAACGAATCCAGCATTTACTTGTAAGTACAACAGCTGTCAAAGGAGCAGTAATTAATTCCGATCTCTAATATACACATAGGAAAAACACGCTCAATAGAACTCAATTGATTTGTTAGGCTTTGTCATTGAATCTATTGATTTTTTTGTCTTAATGCAAAGGCCACTAAAATACTGTTTTAGTGCCACCTTTGAGCTTTTTTGAAAGCTCTTAGAAAAGAATTCTAAATATATTTCAAAACTGGATTATGCACAGACCAGTTGTTTGGACATACAGTTCAGGCTTTGAGTAGTGCTGTATCCATGGGACAGTTGCTGTGCTTCATATGTTCCAAGGACCTGATTCAGAGTGCCCTGAATTCAGTAAGAGTCATTCTGTTAACTTTAGTGGATTTTATCCGATTCTAAGTCACAGAATTCCTGGGAAGTGACATTTGCTCCCATTTCCAGAAAGCAATTTTTGAATCCATTCCACTCAACATTCATTTTTGCTCTCTAAATTGCTTCAAAGCTCCCAATGAATCTTAGAAGTTTCCATGTGAGATTTCAAATCGAGGCTTGCTTTCATTTTGCCCTTTTATATTTTTGTCCAAATTATAAACCTATCCATTAGCTCCCACTTCCTCCTCCTCCTAGAGTCATCATCAACATTGATTTGGTCATAAATCCGCATGTCCAGTTTGTGTCTCCCATTAGAATAATTGTTGTTTTTCTTTTAGATATTCATGGAATGTTGAAAGGAAAAAAAATAAGCAGCATATTTGATACTTCTCTGGGTTTCCTACTTAAGGATTAAGCAGGTTTCCCCTGCACCTTCCAAAAGACACAACATTTTGTGCAAACTAAAACCATCATTATTATTAGTCTGGTTTTCCTGCTTAGCATGGAAAAATCCATTGCAAAAATGCAATGTTCACCAGAGAATAAAATGTAACAGGTTGCAGGAGATTTCTTAGCATGTAGGATTATGTTTAAAATTTCTCTCTAATGCCCTCTATTGCCCCTTTTGATAGCTACAACTGCAACACATTTGCACAGTCCAACCAAAAAGCCCTTATTTATGCAAAAATCTCATCAAGATCTATAGTGTAGTAAGCAGCTCATTTTGTTGCTCTTAAATCCCGGACAGAGCAAAGACAGAGCCTGTATAGTGGTTGTATTTAAACTAATTTAGAAGATAGACAACACTTCAGGTTCTTTGGCTCTGTCCCATACCCTGAATAAATTCTGTTTGTATTCTTTGATATGGAGACTTATGTCTCATGAGAAAACACTGCAAAATCAAGATTTGTCTGAGAAAGCATTTCAGGTCTGGTCACTACAAAACCCCATAGTTCATTGTGTGAATTGCATTGATTTCTTGATGAAGAACAATATTTTTCACCTATCCTTTCCTCTAGTATTTGTTTTTCTGGGGCGGGGAGGGAGGAGTTGCATGAAATGGTGGCATTTCTAGAGATGACTTTCTCCTTTAGGCCTTCCCTAAATAGAGCATCCATTTAATTAAGGTTTTTCACTCAAGTTGTAAGCTTTATACCCACAGACCTAAAGAATGCTTTAAATAATTGATACAGATTTACACTGCTCACACTTACAACTCAGAAGAGATAGTAGTGGCTAGGTTAGCCATCATCCCCACATGGTTTGCCCATCCCAGTGCATGAAGACTTTCCATGTAATCCCTTGCAGGAAATCCCCACGACATCTTAAATGTCAATCTAGATGTGCAGAGCCATTTCTTCCTGTGAATAGCTAAGTACATGTTTGCTGCACATCTATTACATATGAGGCAAAGCATGCCATAAATTCAAATGATTAGAATAGGCTTATGAAGCACCCTTGACATCTTTAGTCAACATGGTGACTGGGTTTCACTTCTATTTTTCCTATGTGTATAGTTGGCAACCAAAAAAAGTAAACATCATATTTTCTGTTTCATTCGCTGCCATTATTTTTTTCATATTTGTTTGCAACTTTATAAATGGACATGTATATATATATATACTTCATGTATGCATGTTATGAAGTGGAGTGTTGTTTATCCAAACAGAAAATCTGTGAAGTATAGAAGTGTAGAAGAATATATGCATAGATACACACAGGAAGATGTAGTATATATGCACACATAGGCTGTGTCAAGACTGGCCAGTTTTTCTGGAAAATCAGATGCTTTTCCGGAAAAACTTTCCAGCTGTCTACACTGGCCTCTTGAATTTCTGCAAAAGCACTTACTTCCTACTGTAAGAAATCAGTGCTTTTTGCAGAAATACTATGCTGCTCCCGTTTGGGCAAAAGTCCCTTTTTGGGCAAAACGGCTAGTGTAGACAGCTGAGATTTGTTTTCCTCAAAAAAGCCCCAATCGCGAAAATGGCAATCGGGGCTTTCTTTCAGAAAAGGATCCATGCCAATCTAGATGCTCTGTTCCGAAAATGCATTTAACGGAAAACTTTTCCGTTAAAAGTATTTCCGGAAAATCATACCAGTCTAGACATAGCCACAATGTGTAAAAATCTGTTTCATCAGAGGAATGCATGATTATGCCACCATATTGAAACTTCCATGGAGTTTAACCTAGAGTCCGTAATGAGTATCCACTTGCCCCATTCTCTTTTCTCAGACTAACACATCCTTAGTATGCTCATTCCTTTCACTAGACGAAAAATGAAACACTTCCAGCCAAGTCTGCAGTAGCTTTGAACACGCCTCCTATCAATAAACACGCTTAAAGCAATTTGTTTGGGTTTTATCTTTTTGTTCTAATGTAACTTTTTAAAAAGTGCATGGTGGACTTCAGTTCCGCCTGGCTAAATGAGAATGAAAGACACACGGATGCTTGTTCTGTATCCCAGCTGTGAATGCACAGATACGAGTCTCGTGGAAGAAAAAAAGAAATGTTCAGATTTTGGAATACTAGTTGAGAGAACCATTTTGGGTGAAATCCTGCCCCATTGATCTCAATAGGAGTTTTGGTGTAGACTGTAGTGGGGCCAGAATTTCATCCTGTATTATAAAAATGAGACAAGCCATCAAAATTCCCACTCAGACAGCTCAGTTTGGATCAGCTCAGTTCTCAAGACCAAGTTCAGCAAAACACTTAAGTACAGGTTAATGTGATCAGCAAAGGAGTTAAACATGTGGCTGAGTCCCATTGACTTCAATGGGATATAAGCACATGCTTAAAGTTAAGCACCTGATCAAGTGTTTTCTTAAATCATGCATTAATAAACTGGAGTTTTACAAGCATATCTACGGACAGAATTTGCCTCATTAACTTCCGTGGAACTACTTATGTTACTGCTCTTGCTCATGTGAATAAAGCAAATATGATTTAGCTTCTGCATTACCTTAAAAAGACTACTGTGAATATGTTCTCACACACACGGGCAGAGAAAAAGAGAAAGAAAGAAATGTCATAAGTACTTATGTTTACATTTATTCACACACTCCCATATTAAAGAGCATGCATATCTTTTTTTGAAAAGGCAAATACTCTTTTCACCCATATGGGACAAAAAAATGTAGCTTTATATCCATATGTTAGAATAATTGTATATGTTGGACTTACTTGATGTTACAGTATATGACCGTATGTAAACTAATATGTACATGGTTCCTTATGTATTAAAGTCCACACCATGAAATATGATATGCTATCTGCATATATGGAACACATACACCCTTTCCGCATAGGTAAACTTGTCTGTAACTCAAGGGCTGTGTCTAGACTGGCCACTTTTTCTGGAAAAGCAGCTGTCTACACTGGCCGCTTGAATTTCCGCAAAAGCACTGACGATCTCATGTAAGATTGTCAGTGCTTTTGCGGAAATACTATGCTGCTCCCGTTTGGGCAAAAGTCTTTTTCTGAAAAACTTTTGTGCAAAAGGGCCAGTGTAGACAGCAGAGATTTGTTTTCCGCAAAAAAGCCCCAATCGCGAAAATGGCGATCGGGGCTTTTTTGCGGAAAAGCGCGTCTAGATTGGCCACGGACGCTTTTCCGCAAAACGTGCTTTTGCGGAAAAGCGTCCTGCCAATCTAGACGCGCTTTTCCGAAAATGCTTTTAACGGAAAACATTTCCGTTAAAAGCATTTCCGGAAAATCATGCCAGTGTAAACGTAGCCAAGAATTCTAAAAAGCTGATTACTGGCTTAGGGTGCATCTACCCAGCAAAGTTATTTCAGAATAATGGCTGTTATTCCGAAATAACTATGTGAGCATCTACACAGCAATAGCATTATTTCGAAATAATTTTGAAATAACGGGAGACTTATTCCGACTTCTGTAAACCTCATTCTACAAAGAATAACACCTATTCGAAATAGTTATTTTGGAATAGGGGCAATGTAGATGCTCTACTTCTGATATTTCAAAATAGCCCCTCATCAGGGCTATTCTAAGTTATTCCTTCCCAGTACCTTTTGGGGCTCTAAATCAAAATAGCATGTCTACATTAGGGAATCCTGCCTCGGACTAATTTTGAGGTTTCCCTGCAGTGTAGACGTGCTATTTTGAAATAAGCTATTTCAGAATAGCGATTCCAGGATAGCTTATTTCAAAATAAATATGCAGTATAGACATAGCCTTAGAGAGGACATTTCCTTTTCCTATTATCAATATTGTGCCATGGCACACAAAGGTAATTTTATCAACCAGCTCACAAATTTGCTTTTGAATTTGTTTGAAAATCCTGCTTCATAGACACTGTGGGATAAACTGACAAAAGGATGTAGGTGCCTCAATCCAAAATTCAGGCTCTGCTGGGGTTCTAAGCCACCCCATTCAGCTGCTGCCTGTCGATGCCTAAAATCACTCAGCACCCACATTTTTGCAATAGATATTCCTTAGGTGCCTATGTTTCTGCCTCTGAGCATGCATGTTGCAGCCTTGTGCCAGTTATCTAGATACCTAAGCCCCAGGCTGATTCATGAACTGGGAACAATAGTTCCTTTGCTTACTTTGCCTGTGGGGCCCAATTCGGTAAGGGTGCCTACAGAAGACTTCAAAATGGTGGTGATGGGGGGAGCA